ATCAGTCAATGATTTCTGTTTTTAAATGAGGAAAATTTAACTTGATATTGTATTCTACTTAATGGTTTCTTTTTTGTAGACTATGTTTTTTTTTTTAAGCTGTTTCATTAACTAGGTGGCTTAAGTACAAACTGCATTTTATCCATTTCCATAATATACTGAAGTATTGCCCTGGCTCTGTATTATAATTGGACATTGTATGTTGAATAATATATAAAACCCAAGATAAATGTTTACTAGCTTTCATTTCAGTTTAAAGTATTTAGCTTTATACTTAATCTAATCAACACAATACTTTTGCTTCATCTACTATAGTTAGTGTTGACATCTTTTTCTACTTTGTACTTATGTGATTAGAACGTTCTGCTGACCATCTCTCTAGCTTCAGTTATAATTCAATGGTAAGTAATGCGAGTCTTAATACAACTTTGTTATAATTTCATGCAGCAGTGTTAGTGTTATAAGCATGGGTGAAAAATGTCACATTATTCCGGATCTTATTACGTTGTGAAACTTACAGTTTTTGAGAAGCCATAGGGCCGTAGCACATTTGGAGAAGGTTAACTGAGGATAACATTATTCTAAAATGCTTGCTGTTTAGTTAGTTGTTTGGTTTGCATTCTTATTAACAGGGAAAAAAGGCTAAGTTTGCATGGCACAGAAATTTACACAAGCATCGAGAACCCTTTTACCTTCTTTCTACCAGATCACACATCTAGCATGTCTTGTTTTTCTTTTCTAATCCTGACTTATGTTTTTATATGGTCATTACAATAACCATGCCCGTTTATTGGCGTTATTTGAGTGTCCCTAACTCCTTAATGTTTATTTCCCCTCCAGAATTTTAAATTTCTTAGTTGTTTTAAGTTCTTCTAGCAGTATCATTCTCCCATTCTGATTGGAACCACCCTGAGGCAATACAACCCTTCTCACACTCTACTAACTGTCCTGAAAATACATATATAGACTTTTGTTTATCATGTGAAATCTATAATAGATGATATCTATAATAATATCTGGTTCTTATGGGCTGTTTCAATATATGTGAAGTATTATGGAAGCAGTATTATGGAAGTAATAGGCAAACACTATATTTAGACACTTATGTTTTAAGAGTGTGGTTATATGAACTCTAGGAGTGAGTTTTTTTCAGATCGCCTGTTTTCCCTAATCTTTAAATACAGATTTATGATTCTCTGAAACCCATAACTACTACATACAAAAGGGCATAAATGGCATTTCAGCAATAACTGGCAACAGCAGAACAGCAACAACCATTTGATAGGACTCATTCACATTTTGCTTAGGATCTTGAATTTAACCCAACTTGTAAAACAGCCTTTGTGTTGTCACACACAATTTTCATGTTTAGAAATTGATGTGAGCAGTTAAGTTATGCCCACTTAATTTTAGAAAGATAAATTATAGATATTGGAATCAAAACAAAGCAGAAGAATCAGCCAGCATTGGCAACATTATAGAAATTAATTAAAATTTCCCTCAAGCCAAGAACATATTGTTTGTAAATGATGAGGCTTCAATGTACTTTTGTTCAAATGTAATAAGAAAGAATCATATTTACTTGATTAGGCGCTGGGCTTTACTAATTATGAAACTAATAATCAAAATAAACCCTATCATAGGAATTTAAAGATAATCTGAATTCAAATACTGCATATATCCTTTGTACAGTAATCTAACTTCTTGAAGAGAATCATATACTCATTGATATAGTTAATAGAATATTATTTAAAATAAGTGTAGTTGTAATTTATACAATTTTAGCAAAATCTGCTGATGCCTTACTATGTCACTGTAAAAAAGAAAAAGCTGCTTTCAGATGTGCTATAAGAAATTTCCACTAACTGGCTAAACTATACATATTTATTATCTTACTCTTCTGGAAGTATAAATTTCCCATTAAGTTATGCAGGAACCCAGGACAGCATTGTATGGGCCCATATCAAGGTAGAATAAAAATAGTCCATGATTTCTTATCTGTGCTTTCAGTTACTTTCTTTGTTTCACTTTGTACTCCCACCACATTTCACCAGGCATTTTCAAAATCCCCTTTAGCTTGTAGGTCAGGTCATGGCCTTTGTGGATATAGTCCTTGCTGTGAGAGGTTCTCTCCATCTTCTTGATACACTATTCCTCCTCTGTCTGCATATCATCTTTCAGAAATGTGTTGAAATCTATTGTTAATATAAAATTTTGTCTATCCTATTCACTTTATTGTTTTGACCTACTACTTAAAATAATTATATATGTTTTACATCATTGTTCTTTTTTTTTTTTTACAGTGTTTGCTTTCTTTTCTCAGGTGTAGTCCTCAGAATGTCCACCACCAATTCACCCGTGAACTATCACCATAGTCGCTTGTGCTCTTCCCTCCCTCATTTTGATCCCTCCCCCCTGCCCTGAAGAATGTTTCCAATTTATAGTTGTCTGTTTATATTTTTTTAAAGATTTATTTATTTATGCATACAAGAGCTGGGGTACAGGCCAGAGATGCAGGGGTTTGACAGGATTCACCAGAGATAGAGTGAGGAACAGAACAGGCAGATTGACGGAAGTACACTGCTGAGGGGAGCAGCACGTGAGACAGGAGAGGTCTGCTATGCCATGTGGGTAGCTCCCTGGCTGGCCGGGATCGAACTCGTGCTGCAGAGACTGCGGATTGCTTCATAGTGCAGTGCTTAACCCCTTGCGCCACCAGGAGACCCCTTGTTGTCTGTTTATAAAAATTTTTTCTTCAGATTTATTTATTTATACAAGAACCGGGATACAGGCCAGATTCGTGGGAGGGTGAGAAGACTCACCAGAGACAGAGCGGGGAACAGAATCGGCAGACTGACGAAATACACTGTGGAGGGGAGCAGCGGGCGAGACTGGAGAGGTCTGCCACACCAGGTGGGACCCTCGCTGGGCAGCCGGGATCAAACTGGCACTACAGAGGCTGCGGACTGCTTCACAGCGCTGCGCTCAACCGCCTGCACCCTCAGGGGAGGCCCTATAAAAATAATTTTTGAACCACCACATTAAAGGGTTTCTAAGGAAAGAGAGAGAAAAAGTTTTTCACCCTTTTGCTTGTCTTGAATTAGAATTATTCATTCCTTTAATAACTGATAATAGAGAATAGAATTTGAACTTATTGTGATGCTGTGGATCTTTATTATAAACCTCAGTTATTAGAATATTCTGTAGTTCTTTAAATATAGATGTGAGATATGGGGCTGAATGTACTCTTAAATCTAGTAGGTTCTGAAACATGGTTTCTTGAAAAAAAAAGTTTTTGATTAGTAATTGTTTTGGGGTTATCACTAACAGCAGGAGGAAAAATACTGTAGTTTGCTCTCAGTAGATGACCTTCACTCTTGTTACTCTCTCAATACCTGAGCTGTTTATCATGCAGTGGCATCTGCCATCAAACACCTTTGTTACTTGTCTGTGTTCCCATGTAGTTTCCCATGTACAGCTGGAATCCCATCTTTTCTGAAGCTGTCTCCTCCAACTGAAGTTTGAAGCCCTGGGATTATTATTCTCCTGGACTTTATTTTACAAATATGTTCAACTCTCCCCATTAAAAACAAAGCAGGGGCCTCCCCGGTGGCACAGCGGTTGAGCGCTGGGTTGCGAAGCTGCCCGCGGCCTCTGAGGCGCTGGTTCGATCCCCGGCTGCTCCCCAGCCACCGGAGGAGGGTCCCACATGGCGCGCAGACCTCTCCTGCCGCCCGCTGCTCCCCTCAGCAGTGTATTTAGGTCCTTCTGCCTGCTCTGCTCCCTGCTCTGGCTCTGGTGAATGCACTCACCCTCCCGCGCTTCTGACTGTACCCAGTGCTTGTATAAACAAAATAAACAAACAAACAAATAAATAAAAACAAAGCAAAACCAGATTCCTTCCCATCTTTTCCATGAAGCTAGTCTCATCTATGAAGCCATCCTAATTTCCTTTTTAAGTTCTACCTCCTTTAAAATACAGGCATTTTTTTCAGTGTCTGTGCTTAGTGTCTCCCTTTTTCCTTCCACTTTTCCTGGGAAATCCTAGTTATTCCCATAACTTCAACTGTTGATAAGCCCTAACCCCTTTTCCTGAAGTGCAGAAGCTCCTTCCTGCTTACCCATTAACTCCACTCAGTGTATTCAAAGGCAAATCCATCATTTCATGCTCAGCCCACTCTTCCTATCCTTTAATGAACAAAACAACAAAGCAGTCAATCGCATTCTGTCTTTCCCATATTGATCCATCTACCTACCATGTTCCTAGTCATCCAGGGGTACATGAGGAAGAAATAGTTGAACTTGTTCCAAAATATATATTTACCCCTGTGTTCATAGCAGCATTATTCATAATAGCCTAGACAGAATCAAACCTAAATATTTTCCCTTTGACTGATGACTGGATAAAGAAGCTGTGGTATATTTACCCAGTAGAATACTGCTCAGCTATTAAAACAGATGGAATCTTACCTTTTGTAACAAACACAGATAGTACTTGAGGTGATTATGCTAAGTCCAAAAGTGAAAGAGAAATACTGATGGTTTCACATATATGAATATGAATAACCTGAACAAACAGACTGGCGAAACACACAGAAAGAACTCAGATTCTGAAAAATATAGTCACTACTAAGGACATCATGACAAGGGAGTAGGAGCAATGGGTGACAGAGGATCAATTTGATAGTGTGATGGCAGTAGAACTTTGGTGGTAGGTGGGTAGAGCACATACACATATTGAGAGATGAACCTACTCCAGAAAATAGATATTGACATATCTCTCTATATATATATATTTGTACAGGGATGGCAAATTAGTAAATCTGATTCAATAAAGAAAGAAATATTTGTAAGTCTACAAAACATCCAAAGTTACTATAATCTGAATCAGAGGTTAGTTTCAAGTTTTTAAACTTACTTGCGTAAGACTTCATCTTCTTTTTTTTTCCTTTTTGTTAATGTACCTAACCAATCTTCTGCATTTTCCTGATTACATTCAGGTCTGCAATTAAGGCCTTACGTCCTGGAGGGTTACTTGTGTATTCTACATGCACACTTTCCAAGGCAGAAAATCAAGATGTGATCAATGAAATTTTAAACTCCTACAATAACATCGTGCCTATGGACATTAAGGAAATAGCAAGGACTTGCTCCCAAGACTTCACATTTGCTCCCACTGGCCAGGAACATGGACTCTTGGTGATTCCAGACAAGGGCAAGGCCTGGGGCCCAATGTATGTAGCCAAATTGAAAAAATCATGGACTATGTGAAACTGGTAACATGCATTTTGTAAATCATGTCAGCGTATTATTAAATTTATTTTTCAAGCCTTTCTATAGGTTAAGCTTTAAATAACTATGGAGGCACTTTCCCTGAGCCTTTTGCAACCTTACTTAATTCGTACGCTATCATGTTGGAATATAGGCTTGAAAATTTTCCAGGTGAAATTTTTTTGTAGAAATATATCTATAGCAATGATTTAAGGTAGCACAGATGGTGTTTGTTCTGTATAATAAATCTGCTGTCTTTTACTTGGCATTTTGTAGTAAATTAATCAGACTGCATGGTCTTATGCAAAAAATGTTTAGAACTGCATTCTATTCAGATGATGATTCTTTGAACCTTTAAAAATGCGGATTTGCTGGCCCTCTTATCACTTTTGCTCCTTATCAAATATGAAGTTTCTCTCAGGGTTTTGTTCTGCCCTTTTTCTATAAGAGCTGATTGCCATTCTGAGACTCACTTCTTAAGCAACCTATTTTACTAGTTCTAGCAAAATAGGTTTCTTATTTGCCAAGTTGTTTTCTGTTAAGTACTATCTTCTGTTTACTGCAAAGGTCAGTGACTCTATTGGCACCAGCTTTATTTCACCACTTTTTGTTGTATTCACAAATACAAATAGAAAGGGTAAAATGCGTTGAAAAGCCATCAGAACAGCAGATTCACATGCACATGTTTGACTTTCGACATTCAGCTTCTAGAATAATGGAGTCTATCCAGCAAGCTATAAAGCAAGTACTTGAAACAAAAGCAGAATGATTAATAACTGCAATAACTGAACTATATTTGGAGAGTTTTGTTACATAATTGCAGCCATAATGAGCACTACAGAATCTGATTATCTTACAGTTGCAATCTGGAGGGGCTTTTTATTTCACTCTGTTATGAAATGTTATATGAGAGTGTGATGTCACATATTAATGCACAGAGGGAGATACCTAGTGAGAGTGGATTACACTGCTACCAAACCCAATATCATTTACTAAGTGGCTGTTCCTGTTTACATATTTCCTGGGATATATTGTGTGCAGTTTTATATATTGTCCTTAGGTTTTTTTAGCTTTAGGTTCAAATCATGTATTTTCTCATGAAATTGCTTCACTTAGAGTCCAAACATATTTTCCACCTATTAGGAAAAAGTATGCAACGCACTTCAAAAGATTTTATGTATTTTGAAATTATCTTTTAAAAAAAACTCAGTATAGAAATACAAAATTTTGCTGAAGCTGAATCCTTTTGAATTGTTTATTACATTCTGAGCATTTAAACTAGAGCTTATTTGCTCATTAACTTTTTTGTTTTGCAAGCACATGTAACTGAGTTTTCGGAATGTCCTCGAAACAATGCTTTTTTTTGTACCTTCATTCCATTAACCATTTTTCCCCTTTGTACTAACTGATATATTTAAGGAAGCTGATCTCTTGAGGCCATCACATGTGCTATGTTAATTCAGAAAATTACTGATAATGTAAAAAATTTTTATTTTCATTAATTTGTTATTAATGGGTTGTCGTAGTTTGTTTTGTTTTTTTCCAGCTATTTTTTTCAAATAGCTTTATAAAAATTTAGGTTGTTTACTAACACATTAACTTTTCTCTGTAATCAGCACATTGAATGGCCACTAGTATCAGAAAAAGACTGAATAAATGTAATGAATTTAAATGGTTCATACTGAATTTTTAAAGCATCATATAATATCTGTGGTTTGGAAACAGGCAGCCTATAGTTCTTTCTCCTATTCTATATATCCATATAGCCTTATACTTAAGACTGCATGTTAACCTTTTAACAATGTTGTGAAAAGCATCCTTTTATATAATGTATAAAAGAATATATAACAGTACACTTGCTACATGTCTGAAAAAGTAATCCCAAATCTAATAGGCCCTTATCAGAGAGTGTTTTATGCCTGGGAAATGAACATCAGATATTCTGCATAGGTTAATGCAACTCATCTGGAATACAAAGAGAAAATTGGAACCAGTCACAACAATATTACTAGATGCCAAGAAGTCCTTTGATGCAATTGAATGGGATTACTTGTATTATGTGTTAGGTAAATTTGGCTTTGGGGAGAAATACAACAGATAGCACAATTTATTTTCAACTCATTTATATGGTTCAAATCAATGGTTTACAATCTCTCTTTCCTTGCCTTATTGCTGCATTGGGGAGGCAAGTAAGGATGATGCCCATTACTGATGCTACTCCTTAGGCTGACATTGGATCTATTCTATCGCCCAGATCCCACAAGTATCTAAAGGATATTCAGGTGAAGGTTCACAAGTTTACTAATGTCTGCTAATAATCTACTCTTGTGCTGCAAGCCGTAAGAGCATCTGTCCTGAGAACATTAAAAGTAATGTCAGAATTTGGAATGGCTTCAGGCTGCAAAGTCAATGGGAGAGAATCAAAAATGCTATCTTGACAGAATAGTTTCTATTAATATTACTGGGTGACATTTAAAGTAAAACAAAAATGTAAAATGAATTGATTTAGGATTCTCATTAGGGAATGGTTAAACAATAGAGTAAAAGAACAAATTTTTAAAATTCACCTGTAATTCAATACCAAAATTAAAAAAAAGAAAATAGGCTTACTAAGTCTAAGAAGGAAGAAAGCCACCTGAGAGAGCTTATACCTCTTTAAAGTTTAACTCATTCAAATATTAACACCATACCTTTCTGCAACTTTTTACAAAAAATGAGGAAAGTAATTTCTTTATTCATGTGACATCATATAGTTATGATGAAACTTGGTGAAAGCATATGCTACCTTAGGAAAAGACCTGCTTGCCTCATTGGTAGCTATTTAGTGACATACTTCATGACTCAATTAAGCTTGCTATGGTTTGTCAAAAGGGATTTTCTGCTGCATATTGCAATGGAAGAGCCTATTACACACAAATAGCTACACAACTTAGCAGAATCAACGGAGACAAAAACGTAGTCTATTGAAAATAAGAAATAGAACTATAGCTTCTTCCTATTTCTTAAAAAAGCGCAAGTAAAATCGTAGGTACAGTATTAAGAATGAATAAAGCAAGAGAGATTAGAATTGGTGAAAGAAGCAAATGAGGGACAGGGTTAATTTCAGTTTATTACTATTATTGGCTTATAGAGAGAAAGATTCTTCATTTATACCTCCAAACAAGGCGTTAGCCACCTTTCCAAACTGGTAAACTTCTCTCCCTTCTGATATTACAGTAACTGCTGGAGTGAGGGACAGAGGAATGAACGAGCTAGAGAGCTTGCTCTGATACAGGAATCGTGTGAGTAGGGAAGGGTGACTCTGCAGTGTTGTAACTCATACCTGCCACCTCTCAAGAAAAGGAATGGGAAGATAAGTGATGGCAACTACCTCTGATGTCGCTAAAAATTGTTCTGTGTGATTGTAAAGGCAGGACTGGGCACAGTGCAGGTTTTCTGATCCCATGCAGACCGGGTAAAGGAGGAGTCAGAGTCCTCAGTAGTTTTGCAGGTTTTTTATTGGGGTTCACCAGGAATATGGCAGGCAGGGGTGCTGGCCTCCCAGGCAGGCCTCCCAGCCCCCCAGCAAGTCTTCACTCTATCTGAGCTCTCTGGAGTTTGTTCTGCTGCTTCTCAGCTTCTCTTCGGCTTCAGCTTCGGCTTCTACTGCTGCTGCTGCTGCTGCTGCTGGCGTCCCCGCGACACCGCCCTTAAAAGCACAGTCTTAACTCAGCTGAATCCCATCTACCTATGCCCACACCCTATTGCAGGTGCCCGCCATCAGGCATGCATTCAGGACAAGGATCCATCATCTATCCTGATGGCGGAAGGGCAGAAAAGCCTGACATTTTCTTTACCCTACAGTGATATTTTTAGCCATGAATAGCCAGCATAACTTAACTATTCCACATTTCCATATCCCAATATTCTACATTGATAGACATCCCTCTTGAAATGATCATAAAAACTTCAGCTTCAGTCTTAGAATATAACAAATGTGCTTAATAAGCAAAATAGGTGTACACAAATCACATATATTCTTTAATAAATTGCTTTTGTTAAATATCCTAGTACAGACAATCCTTATTAAATTTTCCATATGAAGCTGTAGCTAAGCTTAGAGATACATTATTTTCAGCTGCCTAGTTAACCTCACCAGATAGAGTTAATGAAACAGGTTCCTTTTTCATCCCACAGTGTTGAACTGGCCGTGGCAACTTGATGCAAATCAGAAGAGGTGATTTTTGAGTTAGGAGGATGGTTCAAAAGAGGCTCATGGGGGAAATGGAACATCATTATGGGGGTAGGCTTACAGTAAGTCAAGCATTTATCAGAAGCCAAATAATGTTACAATAGGCCTGAAGAGTTTAGGATAAACGTCCAAGAAGCACGTTACCACCCCAAGAATGTAGGTGTTCATCTATCTGGTCAAATCCCCTGTATTTACTCAGGACTAGAGCTTCTAGCTCATATCTTCTCCATGGGAACTCTGCCTCAGGCTGACATTAACTTCTCCTTGGAAAACCCATCCAATATCCCAAGTTCCTGGTCTCTTTCCAGCCACTCTTTCAATGGCTTCATCTCCGTTCACTTAAGTAATTCGCATTCTTAGCATGTGGCATTACCCAGAGTCACACTCTCCAATGTGACATCCTGCTTGATGGAAAAGTTTTATCTGTCCTGCCCAATATAGACAAGTCAGTAGCCTTGCATGATGATTAAACAGTTTAAATGTGATTAGTGTGGGTGAAGAGCATAATTTTTAATTTTAATTAAATGTAACTAACCACATGTGCTAGTGGTTTCCATATGGGACAGCATAGATTTAGAATTTCTCCACTGAAGAAAACTTCATCTCAGTACCTTCCTATTCTTTCTTATTCTCTTATTCTTTTCAAAACTGCAATACAACTTCCTGACACCGGTTATTTTTAAACCTTCACCTTAAGGCTATCCATTCCTCTCTTGGTCTCCCTTACATATCTAACACCCTGTGTTGATGTCTTAAAACTTTTTTTTCTTCCAGGGCATTCATCTCCTCCATGCTCTTGCATTCACACTGCACATTCAACTTGAAACTCTAGATCAGACCCATATTCATGCCTCTACCAATATATCTAGATAACAGTAATAACAGTATTGTTTATAGAACAGGTTGAGGTCACTACAAATTCACATAACTGTTCAGATTGATTTCACTACAAATTCATGCTAACTCATCTAAGACTTTTTACACTGATCAATAACTGGTTATTATTTTATCAGCTTCCTTTTCCATTCCCATTATTAACATTTCTAAACCTCCACTACTCTCTACAATTCTCTTTTTTTTTTTTAAGATTTATTTATTTATTTATACAAGCACTGGGTACAGTCAGAAGCTCGGGAGGGTGAGAGAATTCACCAGAGCCAGAGTGGGGAGCAGAGCAGGCAGACTGACGAAGACACTGCTGAGAAGAGCAGTGGACGCGGCAGGAGAGGTCTGTGCGCCTTGTGGGACCCTCGCCGGCGGCCCCGGGGATCAAACCAGCTTCACAGCCCAGTGCTCAACCACTGCGCCACCGGGAAGGCCCCTCTCTACAATTCTCTTAAAAAAACAATGTGCTCTTATTTTTCAGATGTCCCTGCCTCCTAGTTTCTTGAGAAAATTACAGTCATCAGAGTGAATGTCCTTAACTATCTTTGCTGTTGCATTCCCTCCTCCCTGCTTCCCACCCCATTTTATTTAGAAGCACTATCATTCATTTGGCTTCACAAATTAGAAACCTGGTTCAATGGTTTTCTTTCTTTTTCCTCCTTTACGCCTCTTTCTCACTTTAGCTAAGCTAAAGTCTTAGCTTTTTTTTTTCCACTGTTCTCAATGTACTTAGTACCATTGCTATTCCCTTAATTAAGACCATCTGGATCTTTAAGTTTTCCCCCAGTATCTTCCTACATGTGGACTAACACCTCATAATCTACACTATGGCTGCTGACATACCCTTTCTACAACAAAGTCTCCCATTATGTTAATTATTTAAAATATTTCAATGGCTCCCCATTCCCTACAGTACGAACTGAGGTCTTAACATTTCCTACCAGGTCCTCTTGCTTTGAAATCTGTATCTCTCTCTAGCTCTTACTCCCTTGCTCTTCGTCTCTCACATACTCAGACACACACGCATCCTCCTTACCGTCACCTAAATGTGAACAATCCTACTGAGGAAAACTAATATCACAATGTATAAAGTGTCTCAGCTTATTGCTTGGGATGTCCTTTAAATAACTTGTCTCATTTCCCACTCTATAATTAGCTAGTGTTCTACTAGAGAAGCTGATCTTTTTTGGAAGTGATCTAGATATTTAAAAATTGTCATTTTGTTCTTATGTTCCCATCAGAAAATAATACAGGTATATTTTGTGCTGCAGTATTTAGTTTTCCATAGTGAATTGAAAGAATAGTCAAATCATTTTCAAACGCTTGTGCATTGGACTGGATGATGTAAATTAAATAGAGAATCTACTATTTTAGAGGCATGCCTAGGCGTGCATATAGTGTGGGAAAATTTCAAAATGAAATAGGCTCAATAATAAGGTTGGAATGCCAATGGATAAATCCATAATTGTCTTCTGGAGGATACTTCAAACCTACAAGGAATATCCAAGGACAGAACAGCAGATGAGAATGTCTTAAAATAGAAAAAGAAATTGTACTTCAGCACATCAAGGACAGGCAAAAAATAGATGATTAAAGTAGCACTTTCAGAAACTAAAGAAAAATCTTTGGATAAACTTATCAGTTACCCAGAGTTTATATATATTTTGAAACGTGAAAATTAATGTGATTTTGAACTACTTCCTTTAACTTGATGTGTGACATAAATAGACCTCAAACTTTCAAACCCTCGGTAGCCGAATTTTTAAAGCAAAATAGGTTATCTCTAAGGGAACTGAATATTTATTATGCCATTACTATAATGTATGCATTGTTTTACATTTACATACTGATTATTTTATTTAATCCATTCTCTTTCTAAAAGTTCTTTGACTTATAACTGAGACTGAAGTGAAGGGTTAATACTGTGTACAAAAGTAAAGGGAGGAAATGGACAGTGCTGGAGAACCCAAATGTGTCTAAGAGGAGTTGATAAATAGAAGAGTAAGCCCTGAGGAGGCAATGGGACTGATCAGGGATGAGGACAACTGCCTGTGTTGGTGCATGTAAATGGCAATTTCATTTTGCTACATTCTTGCTAAATTGGCATGTCTGTTAAGCCAATATGCCAGAAAGTCTGGTTGTTCTGATTCCTTATTTTTGCAAAAACACAATCTTTGTTTCAAGCATGGTGTTATGCATTCTTATGAATCTCAGACTTATGTAATCTAAGCACCTTTGAAGAGCAAAACCTTTTTCTAAGGCCTCCCTCAATGTTTTATCAGAAATAAACAGAACCCTAATTAAATTCTGCATGCCAATAGTTTTATATAACTCCAATATCCACAGATCCCTGTAAGATTTTCAAAGTTGACATGAGTGGCACTAATTTAACATGTCAGGTGACGACGTCCTGTTGAAACTATACCAG